GGGGGTTGGGAGTGGGGAAGGAGGTAAAAAAATGAGGAGCTGATACCAGGGCTTAGGTGGAGAGCAAATGTTTTGAGAATGATGAGGGCAATAAATGTACAAATGTGCTTTACACAATTGATGTATGTATGGATTGTGATGAGTTGTATGAGCCCCTAATAAAATGATTTTTAAAAAGTATACAGGTTGCTCTGTTACACTAAAACTAAATGTGTACACAAAGGGGGAGACGAAGCACTACCGTCTCAGAAACTCGCAAGGGTAGTTCTACCCTATCCTACAGGGTCACTTCGAGCGGGCAATCGACTTGATGGCGGTGAGTTTTCGTCTTGCTTTTTCCTTTCTAGAGGTCAGAGCAGAATTGCTCCATAAGGTTTCAGACACTGCAGCTGTTTTTTGGAATCAGATGGCTGCATCTCTCTCCCTAAAGACTTCAAAAGGCCTCCCTTTCCGACTAGGTGAGAGCGCTCCAACTTGCCCGGTCACCAGAACCACAGTAGCCCACCACACCTGGGAAGGTGTTAAGGGCTCCTGGTTTCTCAGAGGTCCGGAGATAGTGAGCCTCTGCCTCCTCCTCCTCCTGTTGTTCCCTCAGCTACCTCCCTATTGGTCCCTATCTCACATTCATTTATTCATCCATAAATATTGATGAAGCCCCTACTAAGCGGCTCTCGCATTGTTCCCCGGGCAGGGACAAGCACAGCAGCGAGCCAAACAAAGAGGAGTCCACAATGCTAGGTGGGGTTGCCAGCGATGGCTAATTACGTTTGCCTCCCGGGTGGGGGCTCAGGGGCCATCCCAAAGGGGAGGGGGTGCCCCTAGAGAAGCGCCCCGAGAGAGAGGGACACCTATCCCCCAAAGCTTCCCCAACCCCACATCCCAATCTTCCTCCTTCCGACTCGCTCCAGTCTGGAGAAGGCCTCCGGGGCGGGGGTGAGGGGTCAATGTTTAATTAAAAAATGAAACTGGCTATGTGACGCGGAAACCGGTCGGCCAGGGCAGGAGAGGCTGGGAGGAAGGAGTCCTTTGTGCCCAGGCTGGGTTGTCAATAAAGTCTTGTTGCCTTGGCAACGCAGGCCTCGCTGGGCGGGGCGATGGAGGTGCGTGCGCATCCTCATCCTAGTGTTTTTTTGTTTGTTTTTTTTTTTTTAACCCGCACCCGCACCCTCCTTTTCTTGCTCCCCACTGTGGACGCAGGTTTCTTCAGAGAAAGAAGAGAAGGTCTGGGGACGGGCGGAGACTTTAACCAATGAAAAGACGAGTCGTTCCAAGGCCAGCCAATCATCTGCGACCAGTAGATTCGGCAGCGCCCACCCTCTTTCCCCTGGGACCTGGATAACCTGACCCAACCCGAGTTTAGCCCGGAGCGACAGCGCTGTGGACCAATGAGGGCGTCATCTGCGTGTCCCGGCGGCGGCGGGGGCGGGGTCGCGTCTCCATGGTTACCGCGGAAGGACGGCTCCGTGAGCCAGTAGCGATAGTTGGCGGGTCCTGACGGCTGCGCGGGCGTGGCGGGGTTTTGTCGGGGCATTGGCGGGGGACGGGCTGGGAGAGCCCGGGTGCGCTTTAGCCAATGGGAGAGGCGCGAGCTCCATAGCAACGGATAAGTGGCGGCGGCGGCGGCCAATAGAAATCCGGGAGTCCCGTGGATGGCGGGCCGGGCTCGGCGGGTGCCGACTAGAGGCGCGGCGACCGTGTCTGACGAGAGCTGGAGGCGGCAGTGGGAGGTGGTGGTGGCGGCGGCGTGTGCCCCTGAGGAGGAGGAGGAGGAGGAGGAGGAGGAGAAGCGGGTGAGGGGCGGCGCGGGGCCCGACCTTTGAACCCCCTCACAGACCCCCGCTCCGCGCCACCTTGGCTCCTAGTCGCCCCCAGCCCCGACTGTCCCCCACCCCGCTGGGCCCTGGGTGCGTGTAGGGGCCTCACCTTTCGGGCCCTGGCCTCCTCTCTGTGTCCCCAACCCGTTTCCCGTGGCTCCTGGCCAGCCCTGTCCCTGCAGCCTCTGGCCGTTCCCGGCACCCCTAGGACCTCTTTCGGACTTCCAGGACCCTCCCTGCACCCCGGGCCCCTCTTCTGCGTGCTGGGACTCCTCACATCCCCACATCCGTCCCCTGGCCCCTCCTTTGGCCTCCAGCCGCTTTGTAGGAGGGTGCTTCCGAAAGTTCCAGGAAATATTCCGTTCCACTGGCCCACGAACTTTTGGAAGCCCCCCGAATCCGAGCAGAGTGGCCCCTGGATCCTTCCCTCTGGTGGATCTTTCCGGAACTCTCCCTGGAACCCCAGGGACTTCCTGGGGTCCCCTCATGCCCTGCGGGCCTCTGGTTGGACCTCCACGCCCCCTCTGTCCACCCCCACACACACCCTGGGCCCTCTGGCCTGTCCTGGGGAATCACTGCCAGCCCAGGGCCCTCTGTGCACCCCAGGCCTCCCCTCGGCCCTCCCTGCACCACAGGCCTTCTGCCTGCCTCTGACCCAGTCCCTTCCCTGGACACTCTGGGGCTCCCCTCTCTCTCCACCCCCACCTCCTCTCAGCCCCCAGGCCTGCTCAGCACCCCCAGGCTCCTCTGTGTATCCCCAGACGCCCCCCGCCCTCTCCAGACCACACCCCCCCACTGCTCTTTCAGCCCACGTGACTCCTATTCTTGTCCCAGGGCCTCCCAGTCACTACAAGATCCCAGTCCACTCCTTGGCCCTGTCCTTGCCTCCCCCACCTGTCCCCTGTCCCTGTCTCCTCCTCTTCTGGGCCCCTTGCCCTCTGAGTTCTCACCTCCCATCCTCTCCACTTGGGGTGCCTCCTCCTCTGCCCCCCTTTTTTCCACTCCCCCCGCCCCCAGAGGGAGCAGGTGCTGGCTTCTCTCCTTGGCTCCCCCTCCCCCTCTTGCTGCGGGGGCTCCCTTATCCCTGGGGTGGGGGCAGGGAGGTTACATTCTCCCCTCTTCCAGTGACACCTCCCACAGGGCTGAGCCCTAGGGGCCCCCAGACTGCAGGCTGATCAGCCAGCCCCAGGTCCATAGGGATTTGTCAGTGAGTGTGCACATGCACACGGGCTGTGTGTGTGTGTGAGAGAGCCCACGCGAGTGTGCACACACGGGGGTTAGGAGCGATGGCGTGCTTGTCTGTGTGTTCACAGCAGGTGGGGCTATCGGTGGGGTACATGTGTGCCGGGGTCGGTGTGACTATGTACTTGTCGGGGTACGTGTTTGGGGGTTCGGGTCCTGAGCTAGAGGACCTGAGGATGGAGTGTGCCCAAGGCTGGATCAGTTCCTGCTTGCTTCCTGCCATTACCAGCGGGTGGCCCCAGGAGCCCGAGACCCCCACGGTCACTGGCCGGCTGGGGCCGAGCTGAGCGTCCTCTGCCCTCCTGCAGGAGCAGCATGGTCTGGGGACCACCATGGGGCCGGACAGAGTGACCGCCCGTGAACTGTGTGAGAATGACGACCTGGCCACCAGCCTTGTCCTGGACCCCTACCTCGGCTTCCGCACCCATAAGATGAACGTCAGGTGAGGCAGCCCTGGCCTCTCCACACCACGTTCCGGGGGGTGGGGGCCGGGCAGGCCAGGAGGGACATAGGCCGAGGCCCTGGGACCCAGGCGTGCCCTCTCCCCCAGCCCCGTGCCCCCCCTGCGGCGACGGCACCACCTGCGCTCAGCGCTGGAGGCTTTCCTGAAGCAGCGTGACCTGGAGGCTGCATACCGGGCCCTGACGCTGGGAGGCTGGATGGACCACTACTTCCAGAGCCGGGGCCCGCGGCAGGAGGCTGCCCTCAAGACCCACGTGAGGGCACCCTTCCCTTCCCTCCCTGCCCGCCCCCCACCGTCCCACTTCCCGGCCCAGAGGACCCAGCAGAGGGGAGTTGGGGGGTCCTCTGAGATGGAGTCCCCCCCTCTTCGTTTGACAGATGAGGAAACTGAGCCCCCAGAGGGGAAGTGAGAGCACACAGCAAGACTAGAACCCAGAGCAGGACTAGCATCCCGGAGAGAGGGCCGTGGACATCCCTGCCTGCCGGCCTCCTCACCCTGCCCACTCCCTCACCTCCTCCAGATCTATCGCTACCTCCGAGCCTTCCTGCCTGAGAGCGGCTTCACCATCCTGCCCTGTACCCGCTACTCCATGGAGACCAACGGGGCCAAGATTGTGTCCACCCGCTCTTGGTGAGATGCATGACGCGAGGACCAGAGGGCGTAGAGGGGTCCAGAGGTGCTGGGGCACAGAGCGGAGAAGGAGAAGGTTGAGGGGGTGGAGCTGAGGGAGGAGGACAAGGTGGAAACATTGTGGCGGACAGGCTGAAGGGCACTGAGGGGAGGACAAGGATGAGGTGGGGGCACTGAGGGGCCAGAGGACCAAGGTTGGGGTGCCGAGGAGCTGACTTGCAGTGCTGCGGGGAGCAGGACAAGGTGGGGGCTCTGAGGAGAGGCCGGGCACACTCTGGAGCCTGAGCCTACTGGCTCAGAAGGGGTCCTGGCAGGCTCCCAGAGACTATGGAAGAAGGTCCATCAGGAGCCCACAGTGGCCATAGAGGAGAGCTGCCCAGCCGCCTCTTCATTCCTCAGTGTCCACCGAGTCCTGCAGGTGCCCCAGGGCTGGGTGGGGTCAGGACAGAGAGGGCCTAGCCCCCGCAGTCCTCCCCAGGCCCTGCTCTCCCTGCTTATCGGAGAAGGTACAGGGTGTGCCAGTCCGGTCATTGGCTGGAGGAGGAGATCCCCCAGGCCAGAGAGCGGGTGGGCGGACTCCCACCTGGCCCTGGGTCGAGAGATTGGGAGCTGGGGAGGACTTTCAGGTTTGTGCAGATGGCCCCCTGCCTCTGGTCCAGGGCCCGGTGGCCACCGGCTGACACGGTGGGCGCTGTCTGTCGCCGCCTCAGGAAAAAGAACGAGAAGCTGGAGCTGCTGGTGGGGTGCATCGCCGAGCTGCGGGAGGCCGACGAGGGCCTGCTGAGGGCTGGCGAGAACGACTTCAGCATCATGTACTCCACGCGCAAACGCAGCGCCCAGCTGTGGCTCGGCCCCGCCGCCTTCATCAACCACGGTGGGCCTCGGGGTGGGGGTGACGGGTGGGCCCCCTGCCTGGGTCTCCTGGCGAGCCTGGCTTCTTACCTCTTTTCTCCCCTACCTGCAATGGCGCCCCCTGGTGGCTCCAGACTGCAGACCCAACTGTAAGGTAAGTAAGCCACTGCCCGCTTGCTACTGTGTGGCTCAAGGTGACCTCCGAGGCTGAGGGCCTGCCCCCAGGGGTTTCTGGGCTGTGACCATGACCTGGTGCATAGTGTTTACATGTTGGGCTGCTAACCCCAAGGTCACCAATTCAAAGCCACCTTGCCGTTCCTGTGGAGACACAGAACGTTTTATTAGTCATTTTATTGGGGGGCTCTTACAAATCTTTTAACAGTCCATCATTCTGTTGTATTAAGCATGTTTGCCATATATTGCCATTCATCATTTCCAAAACATTTTCTTTCTACTTGAGCCTGTGGTATCAGCTTCTCTTTTCCCCCCCACCCTCCACCCTCTTGAATCCGTCATCAGGTCTATATTACTATTGTTATTGTGTGTCTTACACCGTCTGCTGTTTCCCTTCACCCACATTTGTTGTCTCTCCCACCCAACCCCCGGGGAGGGGTGCTGTATATGCAGGACTTTCTACTCCCAGAAAGAGTGACCGTCTCAGAAGCCCGCAGGGGCCGTTCTACCCGTCCCATAGGGTCGATCTGAGCGGGCATTGGCCTAGTGGTACTGAGTTTGGTGACCCAAAGGAGCCCTGGTGCTGCCTGGCTTCGAATTGAGAAGTCTCCTCTTGACACCCACCACCTGCCCCTTGGGAGAAGGCAGTTGGCCTATGTCAGGATTTACCGTCTCAGAAACCCCATGGGGCACCTCGACTCTGCCGGGCAGGGTGATTGTGTGAGTGACAGTTGGCCCCCCTGCAGTAGGCTTGCCTTTGGGGTGTCATTTGGCTTTGTTTGTTTGGCAATGGTTTCAGCGGCAGGCAGCCATGCCTTTGCACGGCCGAGCAGCTGGTGGGTCCAAACCCCCAACGCTTTTGGTCAGCAGCGTGTACTCTAGCTCCTGAGCCGTAAGGGCTCCCTGAAGTGGAGGTGGTGGCGTGTCCACTTCCAGTGCTGCCTTAGGCCATGAAGCTGTGTCCCAGCCTCCTGGGCTCCCCACACGCTACCTCAGGGAGTGGTGGGGCCAGAGAGGCGGGCCCCCAGGTGTGTGTGGACAGGTGGCCTGAGGGGGCCAGAGCCCAGAGTGGGGCCGAGGGACCTGGAGGAGCAGGAAGGAGGGGTGCAGGAGAGAGCTAGGGCGGTGACTCCAAGGCTGGGGGGCGGGCGCTGAGTAGCATGGCCTCCCAGTTTGTGCCGGCAGAAGGGAACGCGGCCTGCGTGAAGGTGCTGCGCGACATTGAGCCAGGCGATGAAGTGACGTGCTTCTACGGCGAGGGCTTCTTCGGGGAGAAGAACGAACACTGCGAGTGCCACACCTGCGAGAGGTGGGGGCGGGGCGGGGCGGGGCCAGTGGGCCGGGCCACAGTGCATGGGCAGGGCAGGGCCGAGCCAAGCCCCTGCCCCGCCCACTCTCCTGTACCCGCCACCCACCCACCCACCTCCATCCCAGGAAAGGAGAGGGGGCCTTCCGGCTGCGGCTGAGGCCCAAGGAGCTCAGGCCGGCCCCGCCCCAGGCCCCTGACAAGTATGAACTCCGGGAGACCAAGCGGAGGCTGCAGCAAGGCCAGGAGGGCCGCGGCTGGCAAGGCTTAAGGGGGCTGCGTGCCTGCGCCCACCCATCCCCGGGTCACCCGGACCTCTTCTGTGGTGAGCAGGGCCTGCACTCCACACCCCACCCCTTGCCCGGTTGCCCCTCACACCCTCCACGGGCACCCGGCTGCTTCCCTTGTCTGCCTCTGCCCCTGTGGCATTGATGGGGACTGGCCACAGTGGGTCCTGAGGCTGCTCCCGCTTCTGTCCCCCACAGCCCTCTGCCAGCCCTTGCCTGGTCACCCTGACGCCGTCACGCCCATGTGGTTCCAGTGGCTGCTGCAGCCCTTGTCCCAGCCACGCGCCCGGAAACGCCGCCGTCGCCGGCCTCGGCGGGCCCCCGCGCCCCCTAACCTGCCCGCTGTCCGCATCGCCCTGCACCCTTGGGGAGGCTGTGGGTCTGGCTGCCGCCTGCGGGCTGAGGCTCGCGTGGCCCTGGGCCGCCTGCCCCCCGCACGCTGGACCCAGCAGCAGGACTGGCACTGGGCCCGCCGCTATGGGCTGCCTCACGTGGTGCGCGTGGACATCAGCCGGCTGGCCCCTGCTGCCCCGGCCACCCCTGCCAGCAGCCTGGGCCCCAACCCTGTCCCCAAGCAGGCCCTGGCCTTCACCCCCTTCTCCCCACCCAAGCGCCTGCGCCTGGTAGTCAGCCACGGCTCCATCGACCTGGACGTCAACGGCGATGAGCCCTGACAGCATGGTGCCTAGGGGATAGAAGCGGCCCCCTCCGCGTCCTCGTGGGGACAAACTGATCTCAAGGAGGAGCCTCGAGCCTCTGGAAAGGTGCTGACCGCTGACCCATCCTGACAGGGCCCGGGCCAGCTCGGGCAACCCCGGAGAGCTGACTCCTGACCCTGTGACTGCTGATCCCTGAGCCACGCCCAGCCCGGCAGGAAGCCCTGGTCCTTGCTGCCCCCACCCGCCTCAGGACCCAGGGGTTGCCCCACCCAGGGAGTAAAGCCATAGGGGGCACCCCCAGAAGGCCTCAGGAGGTGGAGCCTGTGCCGGGGTAGGGGCTCCCTAGTCGCAGACGCCCAGGGGCCACTGGGTGGATGCCCCATCCTGCAACTGTCTTGAAGGCAGGCCTGGGGGGGCGGCCTCGCCTGTATCACGGTGCTACCCCTCATGCTACTGGGGGGCAGAGCCCACCCCCACACCAGCGCAGCCCGCCCAGGATTAGAAGCACTTGAACTTTTTATTAAATCCTTGTTTTAAGCAGCCCCCTTCGGGTGCGCCATGTCGAGGGATATCACATCACTGGGGAGGGGAGGGAAGCAGGCCTTTGGGGCACTGGGCTGACAAGGGCTGCCCTGTGTGTGGCCCCAAAGAAAACAGGGACCCCATGGCTGCAACCTGATTCTCCCCTCCCTCGGGTCACTCGGTCCCTTTTCAGGGCGAGGGAGGCCTGAGTTTTAAGATGCCCTGGCATGAGGCCTGAAACTTAGCTACAGGGTGATGAGGAGGGTGGAAGGAGGAAGGCTGGGAGGGGGTTGGCCGTCGGGAGGTGACAGTGCCCGATGAGGTGCAGTGCTGTGTGATGTCCCCGTGAGCCCAACTCCTGCGGTATAGAGGACAGCTCTCTCCTCCACCAGCCAAGCCTCGTCACCTGCCCTGTCAGCCCCCTTGTGGCCTAGTCTGCACCCTGCCTGTTTCAATGGGGTCAAGGGACACAGGAGAGCCATGAGCTAACACCTGGCTGGAGTGTGGCCCCAGCAGGGCGTGGATGGGTCAGTCTGGGCTGAGAAGGAACAGCCCTGTTGGGGGAAGATAAGGGCCACAGAGGTCAAAGCCCCATCCATTCAGGGTGACAGCTAGCACTCCTGATGAGTGGTGGCCACCTTTAAACAAAAGACATTGCTGACTCATATTGACCCTATAGGACAGGATAGATCTGCCCCTATGAGTTACCAACACTTCTGGCTGTTTAGGGCATAGAAATTCTTGTCTTTCGCCCTCTGAGCACCTGCTGGTTTTGAACTGCTGGCCCTGCAGAGTTTAGTAGTCCAAGACGCAACCAACCATCTTTGGGAACTGGGAATCCCTGGTTGGTGGCGCCGTGTTCTCTGCCAACAGTGAGTTGGCGGTTCTGCGGAAGACCGACAGCCCCATAAGGAATCATCGCAACCCTATAGGACAAAATAGAAGTGCCCCATCGTTTCCGGGGGCTGTGGATGTTGATGGGTTCAAACCCGGCGACGTCCAGGTTAGCAGATCAACAGGAAACAATTCAACTTCTAACTCGCTCCAACACCTCTTCCCCTTCCAGGCTCTGGTAACAGTGAAGATTCTCACAGGGGAAAGGGAGGAACTAACGTGGGGAGAAAGGGAAACCGGTGGGGGAGGAAGCGATCCAGAGTGGTCGGCCAGGTGGTCTTGGGTGATGGGCACCGTGCGGCCTGTGGGCTGCTGGAGAGCCTAAGGGGGCCTGGGCCGCTTCCCACCTCCACCCCCCTCAGCAGAGCACCTGGTTCACTCCTGGCGCCCTGAGCATCCCCCCTAGAAAAATGACTCCCACCCATCCTGGGCAGACAGTGCAGAGAAGCGCCGGCAACACCAGGGTTTTATTTATGGCTGGGGGTGGCTTGCGGGCGGGGGTCGCCAACGCTGGACAATCAGATCTTGCCCGCGAAGGTGCCGTCTCGGATCTGCTCATTCCAGCGCTGGACCTGTGGAGGGGGAAGGGGGTGGTTCGGAGCGGCTCAGCCCGGCTCAAGCCAACCCCTGCCCCGCTGCGGCCCCGGTCGACCCCCTCACCCAGCTGATGGGGCACAGCGAGTGGTACACGCGGAAATAGTACTCGCAAGGCTGCGTGCTCTTCCCGCGCCGGTTCATGGTCTTCAGGCAGCGGTGGTAGTCTGCAGGCGGGGCGGGGTCAGGTCATGCAGCAAGCCACGCCCACACGCCTTGGCCCTCCCCGGGACAAGCCCCGCCCACCGCTGGGCCTTCGTCCCATTAGCTTTGCCCCTATCACTCATTCCAGGCCCCGCCCCTCCAGTCGTGGCCTCGCCCTTCCCTCAAGACCCACCCCTCCACTCGGCTTCGCTCCACCCCTCACCCTAGGCACCTCCTTCCACGCCCGGCCACGCCCCACCCTCGTACTTCTGTCTGGCCCCGTCCTCTAACCCCAAAACCCACCCTACCCCGCTCCCCTCTTCTAGCGGCCTCGCTCCACATCCTCTCTTACCTTTCTGTCTGGTCTCTTCCCCAATTCTCCGCCGGCGGCCCTTGTGGGCTCTTCCCTCTTGGCCAGACCCCGCCTCCCCACTCCAGGCCCTCCCACATTCCATGCTCCTCCACTCCAGGTGCCCCATGCCAACCCAGGCTCCGCCTCTTCTCTCTGGCCCCGCCCTGGCACGCGAGGCCACCGCCCCCCCTATTATTAGCCCCGCCCCGCCCGGTCTCACTGGCACCTGCCCTGCACCCCAACGGTCTCCTCAGCCCCAGACGCCCACTGTGGTGTCAGGCTTTTCGGATTAACCCCGACCCTGAGCTCTCGCTCACCCAGAAAGTTCTGGTAGCAGTTACGCGTCTGGTTCTGGTTGGGGAAGCGAGGGTCGAAGGGAGGTGTGGGCCATTTCCCCTTGGGGGGCTTCTGAAGATTGATATCCAACATCCACGGGTCCTGCGGTCAGGACAAGGGGTTGTGTGGGTAGGGGCGCCCTTGCCCCACCCCACCCCAGCTCCCGACTCCCCACCCACCAACTCACCCAGCCCTCTGGCCTCACCAGGCTGGTGGCTACTTGCGCTGACTTCCTGGCTCCTCTCGCTGGGGTGGGGGTGGGGGTGGGGGTCCCACCGCAGCAAGCAAACTCAGCTTCCCAGACCCTGGTCCGATTGGCTGGAACCTCCCAGTACCCCCCAGCCAATAGGGGACGGTGGAGGCGCCTGCTCCCTCCCCCTTTGGCCTCCTGCAAGTAACCGTCACCACTCCCCCAGGGCCCCCCCCCTCCGGAGTCGGAAACCACCGGGAAGGCCAGTATACGCTAGGGCCCTCAGGTGGACCAAGAGTAAGGCACGTGCTGAGTCTCCGCTTCACGTTTATTCTGCGAAACTGGATCACTGTAGGGGCTCGCCCGTCCCATTCCCTGACACCCCCAATAAATAAATCTATAAATAGCTCTGGTCTCTACTGGAGAGGGAGAAGCCCCCTGCCCCGTTTCTTCAGCACCCTGCTTCTTACAGTGAGGGTGCGCTGAACCTTGGGAACCTGCGGGGGCAGAGGACAGAGAGAAGGTGAGGTCGCTGGCAGTCCTGGCATGGGGGTCAGGCGGGTCTACTGGGCCTCAGGGGTACCTGGCTCCACTGTGCTCGCCTTCAACTGAAGTCGAATCCCCTGGCTTTTGCTGTTAAAAACCCTGAGGCTGCTGCATACTGGAGGGAGAGAGAGAGACAGAGAAAGCAAGTGAGGAATTTGGGGGGTGGCGGTGGCAATAAATAGTTGTGCCCACTGACTGCCACTCATTGGACCTTGCAGGTGGTTAAAGTGCTGGACGGGTCTCAGTGGAGCTTCCAGCGTCAGGCTAAGGAAGCTGAAAATCAGCTCTCGAAAACCCTAGGACCACAGCCTCTTCTCCCCCGACCATTCTAATGTGAGTCAGAGTGGATGGTCCTTGGGTAGGATGGGAGGAAGGTGTGGAACGGAGCCTCCGGTTCCTGAAATAAGTGCGTTCATGTAAAAAGACCTCCTGGGCTGGTTGAGTAGGAGTCCCAGTGGCGCAGCACGTTAGCCATTGGGCTGCTAACTTATGAGGTCAGCAGTTCAAACCCACCCAGCGCCTCTTGAGGGAGACAGATGACGCTTTCTGGTCCTGTACAGAGTCAGGATCTCAGAAACCCACAGGGGCAGTTCTACCCTGTCCTGTAGGGTCGCTGTGAGTCGGGGTGGCCTTGCTGGCATTGAGTTTGGTTTGGGTTGGGTTTGAACTGGTTGAGGCTGGAGGACTCCCCAAACCATTGTCAGGAGGGTCACCTGAGTGCTAAGCTCTTATTTAAAGAAAAACAACCCTCCGTGAGTGTGAGACTCAGCCTTACTTCCGGACGGGTTCTAAGGAATGGCTGTGTCACTGAAGGGAAGAAATTATGAAACAAGCGAAAGTTTTGGGGTGCTCGACCACCATGGCTTCAAGAACCAGGAGTGAGTAGAGAGAGAGAGACTGTATTCTCATCATTCTTATATGCTCTTGGGGCCAGCAAGCCCCCTAATTACAGGTAACCACATACGTAACAAAATGGGCTGTACCCTTAACCCCACAAGCCTCGGAGTTTATTGGGAGAGTAACACCAGTGCTGGGGCAGGAAAGGGGGAGTGACTGTCCCCTGAGCAAGAAGAGCAATAGCAACACGTCTACCCCTATAGTTAAAGGTGCTGGCCAGACAGCTATCAGCCATGTGCTTGTAAGAGGTCGCGGTAAGGCAGCACTATGATGAGAGGATGGTATGGGGAATCACTTTGGTTATGAGAACGTGACTGGAACGCATCTCTAACTCACAAGGGTGAAGGCCTCCCTCCACCTAGAATCCTGGCCTGCCAGGCTTCTGAAAATATGAGAAGAAAGAATTTGTCCGCACGCACTCTCTCCCAGGTCCTCTGTTTCCCACAATGAGAAAGGGTCCACCATCGTTTTAAAACAGAGATGGG